GCTTGCTAACCATTACACCGACTCGGCGTACCTTCATCTGAATAATTACCATGAAAATATTTCTTGCAAAAACACAGCGAAGCGACATTACGTCGGTGTGAATGTGACTAATGTGACTGTGGGATACCTCGTTAGGACCAATAAAAGAGATTATTCTTTGTGTTTTATCAGGAATCTCTCTCTATATGTAACAGAAGCACCAGAACATATTTGGCAGCAACATTCGATGCTTGGACAAATGGTAGACTAAAATATTGTGTAAGATAGATTCTGGTGAAAAAAAAATTGTCTAGCCTCACAAAATGGACCAGCAGTAGACCTAGCAATTGATTCACTATAATCATTCCACTTCATGTCAGCTGAAAATGTTTGCCCGAGAATGGCGCAACGAGTCATTCTCTTGTAAGTTAGCATCAGTCATGCTGACGGAAGGAAACGTTTCCTATGGAGATTAAAAAAGAGGAGTTTCGTTTTTTTTTCTTAAACGAAACAAGCTATTTCTTTCCACAGTTAATATGTCATTGTAGTTTTATATATATCTGATATCGAATGGATTAGACGTACCGTTAAGACAGGAGTTTAACAGTTGTGTCATCAGAATAGATATCGGGTTGAGAACTGATGGCATCAGGAATGAAAATTAGGAACATTGTAAATCCAAGGCTAGAATACTGGGAGACACCCGCACTAATGCAAATATATATATATATATATATATATATATATATATATATATATATATATATATATATATATATTCCCAATAGGATAGAATCCAGGTAGAACTCAATGTCCAGACAGAGTAAACAATCTCTATCTATAAAAGGCAGGATGTGTGTGTGTGTGTGTGTGTGTGTGTGTGTGTGTGTGTGTGTGTGTGTGTGTGTGCGCGTAACGAATGCACAGCCGTAATTTTCGACAGATTTGCACCAAAATTAACATGCACCAAGTTAGCGGGAAGGCCAAGACTGACTTTGCATTTCTCAACTCCCATCGATAGTGGAAATAATCGATTGTTTCATGCTTCTACGGCAGTTTTCATGTAGTTTGCGGCCATTTTGTACTGGCCAGAGTGAGAGCCTATAGCTGGCTGCCAAGAATAGGCAGGAAGGTTCTATTGGCCAGCTTGAGAGCCAACAGCTGACTGACACGAATGCTAACTAGCATGCTAGCATAAAAAATCGATAGCTGCATTCGTCACAAGTGGTAAAAATTTAAATCTGCATGGCACTTTACTCCAATTGGTTCATTTGCTTGTTTAAACTCAAAGTTGATTCTGATTCCGGAAAACGGGGTTGGGTGTGAAAACGTATTTGTTGTTAACATTCTTTTTTCATTCGGGTTTTCCAGTTACGAGACATTTTTTAAAGCTGAACGTTTTGTGTTCATTTTGTTTAGTTCTTTTTTCGTAACAGATTTAATGTTTAGTATAGAGCTAAGAAAAAATTGCAGTGTGAGATAGGCAAGAAGTAAGGCATGTAGTAACATCAGCACGGCAAAGGGCACTCCTTTAAAAGCAACGAAAGGCAAAAATATAAGTCAAGTGATAGCGATTGCTGTATGAGTCGTACGATTTTTGAATCAAGCACGGGCAACGACGGGCCATGCTGCTAGTATAATATAAAAAGCTCAAACACTAATATTCCCTGGTTATAATTTATTGCATTGGAATCGTAATCACGACGTATTCATCAGAGCAACACATTCTTGAACGTTAAACATAAAAAAAAGTCTTAAAATAATTGTCGGACTTTGTCCATTTCATAATGTGTGACGAGATTTGTTTATATTTGATACGCCATGAGCAGATATGAATGTACGTGTGAGATTCATGGAAGATATAAGTTTAAATACAGTAAAATTTAACCTTGCTAACCGAACGCTCCTTCGTGGCCAAATCGGTAAAGCCACGTCAAGCTAAATGGCGGTTCCGTATAGGATACAGGTTCGAATCCTGTCGGAGGACGAATATTTTCTGTGAAAATTTCTCGGACATTCATGCCGGTAAATGTTGTTTATTATAAACAGAGCATTGACTTAAATATTTGTAACTATTAGAAGAATGTTAAACATAAAAATATCTTAAAATAATCGTCAGACTTTCTCCATTTCATAATATATATATGTTAGAAAATATATAGAAAATAGGAAGGAACTGGTTAGGTAAATAATCCAAAGTCCCTTAGTATTTTAGTTATTATTTTTAAAAAATAGTGCTCGATACAAAATTAGAGCATAAATATAATTATTTATTTAAAAATATGATTCAAATCGCGAAACATAAAGGTCTCATGTTTCAAAACAAAACAGGCCATGTTCCATCTTCAAGCGAAATTCCAACAAAAATTTCGTTGAAGATAAAAATGGAGCTCCGTTTTCAACTTCAATTTAATTTAAAGGATTATATTGAAGTTTTGGCTCTTGTTTGGAAACATGAGACCTCTTATGTAGCGATTTAAATCATATTTTTAAATAAATAATTATATATATATATATATATATATATATATATATATATATATATATATATATATATGAATCCTCAGGCCACGTGTGCTCACGTGGCCTGACGATTGCATATAGCATGAAACAGACTGTTGCCTTTAAGTGTTGACTTCTATGTCCACTTTTATATTTACACACGCTCTATCTCTGATATTGAGCACTTTATCCCATAAATATAGCACATCTTAAGACATTTTCTTATATATATATATATATATATATATATATATATATATATATATATATATATATATATATATATAATTTTTACGCGATTCCTGGGATCAAAACCAAATCGGATGAAAAATTCGCCCAGATATACCATAACCTTTCAACGTGCTAAGATATATAGCATGCTAAACCCTGTCAAACCTTTTCAAGATATCCAAAGCTACATGCTGAGCTTCACCATTCTTATATAAAGCTTGATAGGCTCTTTCAGCAATGACCGTTAACAAATCAGCAGTTGACCCACCCATAGAAGCGAAAGCCATATTGCTTGTCTGAAAGCGGACTATACGAGGACAGATGTTTAACCAATTGACAAGAGTCTTTATTAGGTTGTCAGAAAGAGTTAGATGGCTAATAGGCCGAGAGTTTGAAGGATCAGACGGTTAGCTTGAGTTCTTAAAGAATAAATAGTAATAACAGTGGGGACACTCGTCTGAATAATTCGTAAAACCTGATCAATAATTCATAAAGATTTTTCTAATCGTACACAATTTTATTATGGTAATTAGAACAGACATACTTGTTGAAGTGAAAGCAAATAAAAAAAACAAAAAAAAAACAAACAAAAAACGATGGAAATTCTAAATGTCAGTTTGAATCTTTAGGGACTCTATCTTTTAAATCTCTTCAGCCGTCTTTTTGTAATCAGGAGTAGCTGTTATGTCTTAATGCGTGATGTATACGGATATAAGCGTATATTATTAATATATGGGTATATCATATTCCTATCTGGAAAATGATTCTTTTTTAGTCATAGTGCAAATTTATTTATTTCCTCAAGTGATTTTGCGCAGACAGGAACTAAAAACAGCCGTTTTCTTTTCGAAATGTCATTTACGGGAATTACAAATTTTCTTTTAACTTTTTCTACTCAAATAGCTTCTTCTCTTGCACTTTTCAACAGTGGAACTCACTTTCTGCTACTTGCTTCCTTGATGGCTATAGTCTTCAAATATTCAAATGTAATGTCAATCAACATCTTCTGAAGCCTTGATCTTTATCATCGTCCTTGCTAGTGGCACTCCCGACCTTTGTTGGGGTGAAATGCTTTAAAAAATGTTTTTTAAATAGCATTAGCTAAACACGCATATCGATGACATGCATAACGTCCAACTCGTTCAAAAATATCTAAATTGCCGCTAGAGACAAAACTTTTATGAGATCAGTAATTAAAAGTAGCTTTAAGCTTAGGAATAGTTCGAGTTTAAAAGAAATCAATCCTTCCGATCTACATCATGTCTCCTAGAATGCATTTATAGAATCACAGTTAACATTACTAAATATGCTAAAACCACATCACTTGAAGATTTTCATTAGAAGCAACAACTAAAATGGATAACATATGTAGCGAGATTGATTGATTTATATTGTTACGTCTTATCCTTCCGGTGTTCATCATGTCTCATAGAATGCATTTATAGAATCACAATAAACATTACTAAATATACTAAAACCACACCTCTTGAAGATTTTCATTAGAAGCAACAACGAAAATGGATACCATGTGTAACTAGAATTATTGATTTATATTGATACGCCTTATCAACCTTTTACTACTGATCCTGTCTTTCTCTATATCCTTTCTTCAAACACTGCTCTTTGCTCTTGCTCTCATTCTCTGTAACCCCGTGTGTGCTAGTGGCACTTCCGCCTTGCTTGAGGTGAAATGCTTAAAAACTTAGAAAAAAAAACACGATAAAAAGGAAAGGTAATATGATGATTGTTTGTTTCAAAGGCACATTCTAACGTACGTTCGACATTGTGTAGTTTATCTACAGGAGGAGGTAATTTTCTTATGTCATGATACTGATTCCCGTCTTTCTCTATATACTTTACTCAAACCCCCCTGCTTTTACTCTTACTCCAACTCTCTGTAACCCCTTGCGTGCTAGTGGCATTTCCGCCTTCCTTGGGCTGAAATGCTTAAAAAAAATCTCTTCTTTTCTTTTTCCTCTCACTTCGATTAAATATATTTGTTTAAATTCAGAAGGGCACACTTCAAAGCAACAGAAACAAGAAAGCCAGAGAACGCATCTTTCTGGAATATAATGATTAAAACAACAAAAATGAGGAGACTCGTCCTAGCAATTCTTCGATCTCTATTGGTAAGATATAGACTGTGAAACTTTCCGTAGAAATTCGATAAAATCTCTGCAATAAGATATTTATAAAACCATGAATTCTAATGGCACATGACATCACGGGATTATCGACCATTCTTCATTACCTTTGTGTTGTTTTCGGCTGAATGTTTACATTGCAAGCGGACTCAACCCCAGCAAATCGAAATGCCAAGTGACCACCGAAGGGGAAGCGGACGAGTCTTACAATCTGCCAATAACTGATGATGAGAAGCGAATAACCGGTCGAAAGGTCTTATCGTTCTTCTCTATCTCTCTCTCTCTCTTTCATTTTATTTATCTTTCTCAGAAACCGAACTCACCCGCCACCCGCGCCCTTTCCCCGATCAAACTTTCAATAATCGTACAGTAAATTATCCGAACTGCCTTTCGTCGAGTTTGGGTTTAACCAAACAAAGGAGACAAAAGTGAAAGATGTCTTGAAGATTCTTGAATAGTTATAAAGGTCAAACAGGCCCGATTTACGTGGAGAGCAAGAGAAGAGGAAGAACAAGAAGAATAGTATTAATCTGATTTCGAAAATACCATAGGCGTCTGATTGGTTAAACACTGTATGCTGCTGCTGCTGCTAGTGATGTAGGCAATGGTCACTTACTTGCTCAGGCTATTCATTCAAAGAATACTTTGACCAACCACGGCTTCTGCTCGAGTATATCCGTGTCAACATTGATTATGCCTCAGTAATCCAATGCAATGGTCGATAGGGGGGCCTTGATTGTGTTGAACCAGTCGGAAAGCGAACTTTGAATCGATTGTCCTAAAAACTTGTGTAGATATGGGTAAGGAAAGAGAAGATAATGAAAAAGATAGCGTTTGTGCGCGTCGTATATTCGAAAGAAGCAGAAGCCCTGATCATAACGATCGTAAGAATGTTCAATGTTATCAGCTTTAGAGTTGGCCATTATTTTCCTGGCAACAGGGTCAAAGGCGACTTTTGGGTAAACGCAATGCCAATGCACATTTAAATTGCAAACAGTTTCCAAATAAAAACTCTTCTCTTTTTTTTAATTATTTTTATGCTTGACTTTTAATATTTTTTAAACATTTTTTTTTACTTTCATTCGTTCTATTTCGTAAAGAAACCAAACAATCCCCCCACCAAAAAAAAAGTCTCGACCCGCCTTTTTGCCTGGTTGTTGGCTCATTGACTCAGAAAGAATCTTCCTTTTCTATACGCCGATTTCCTGCAAGAATGATAAATCAAGGCTCTCCACAGCTTCCTGCCTTTTGTACCCCTTAGCAATATTTTCCCCTTTATTAATCCATCCCACTTCTTGTTCTGATATTCATTTACACAAGCTCATTATGTAGGTGTCTCGTTGTTTCCCTTTGTACCAATTGTCTTCAATATATCCTGTGTGTAAAAAATTCTCCGGGCCATCTTTCCTTGTGTGTACTAGGAATTTAAATTTTCTGGTTCTGCTTCTAAGTACAAATGTCTTTTTGTTTGTCTATATTTCTGAGATGAGGTATTGTAATTTTACATTGTTCGGACTGTTGTCCTCATCTTTATTGACATATTCACGACGCTTCTACCGTTTTACGCATCAGACTTCTTCAGGTGTTTGGAATTTTGAACTGAACTCTTTATTTCGTCCACCGGGGTAGAGTCTTCTACTTCCATGTGCCATGCCTCTTCCGGATGTCTTAGTTATCTGATTTTAACTAAACTCTCCAAGTTTTTGTTCACCACTGCAGTAGCCAGATATTGAACTTCCAACTCTCTGGGTCCAGTCAGTGAGTTCAATACCTGGCTACTGATGTGGTGGACAAAATCTTGGAGAGATGAGTTAAAGAGAGAGACATCCGGAAAAGGCATGGCACATGGAACTAGAACAATCTACCCCTGTGGACGAAATAAAGGGTTTAGTTGGGAGTTGCAATCAAGTCCAGAGCGTAGAACGTCCGAAACTTCGTGAATATGGCAACAAAAGTGAGGACGGCAGTCCGGACAATGTAAATAATGTAAATAGTCCTTTTGTTTCTATTTTCCTTTAAACATCTTCCTGATTTACGTACTCGATCCATGGTAGTCTCAGCAGAATAGTAGATTCTGCTGTCTCTCATCCACTCTTCATCTGTGAGAAAATTGATTAGCATCCCAAGCCATATAGGAAGGTGAATTGGAAGTACAAAATAGTTGAGCACTTTTTTTAAAAAAATATTTTCTAATTAACTTTTCCCTGTTTTTTTTTTTTTTTTTTTTTTTTCATTCTTTGCTGATATTTTCGGAGGTTTATAGCCATATCACGTTAAAACACAGGTCCCTTACAACCACTGAAGTTAAGCAACGTCGAGCCTGGTCAGTAGCTAGATGAGTGAACGCTTCGGTATATCAAGTGCTGTAAGTTGGGTTGGTTGGGTGATGTAATGGATAATGGCTCGGTATTGTTAAACGAAAAACCGAGGTCTAATTCCAGTTGGGTTCGTTGTTTTAACTTAAGGGTAAATACCATTGAGAAAGGTATGACTCCATTTCTTCTCCTCTCCCCACCCAGCTATCGCTAATTGATAAGAATTTTATCGCTATATAATGATTATCTAAAAATAATGTATTATGGAAAAATATTTTCTGTCTTTAAATAATGGTTGATAAATCGGAGAATAAAAAATCAATCAATTCTATTTTCATTCACTTATGTGCCTTGCATGATACACGCTTAGGCGATCATGTATCTTTCGATACATGGCTGACAAGGCAGATTTTTATTTTCTCGGAGTAGGTTGCCATTTCTTTCTCCGGTAGACCAGTTGCCAACCAAGGCTATACAATGCAGTCTGTCCTGCTATTTACCCATAGCTGGGGGGTGGGGGAGAAGAAAATAATTCATACCTTTCCCAAGGGTAATAGCACGTCAGTTATGTGACATGCGTGATACACGATTAGGCGTTCATGTATCTTCGATACATGACTGACGAGGCAGATTTTTTTCCCGCAATAGGTTGCCATTTCTTTCTCCTGTAGACCAGTTGCCATCTAAGGCTACAGGACCCAGTCTGTCCTGTTATTTATCCATAGATAGCTGGAGAAAATGAGGTTTCATAATTATCCCAAGGGTATTGGCACAAAATTGAATTTAATAGATCTGACAAGAATTCGAACTCAGAGAGCCGATTTCGAATTCCAGTCAAATCCATTACATACACTCACGTGCTAATTCTTTTAATATTACTACTACTTTTTTGTGCTTCTTCTAATACTACTACTTTTTCTTCTATTACTACTACTTCTACTACTACTCCTTCCTTTCCTTCTACAACTCAGTCAGTTATGTGCCATGCGTGATAAACACTTAGCCAATCATGTATCTTTCGATTTTTTTTCCCGCAGTAAGTTGCCATTTCTTTCTGCGCTAGACGAGTTGCCATTCAAGGCTATAGAAAACAGTCTGTCCTGCTATTTACCCATGGCTAGGGGGAGAAGAAAAGGATTCAAACGTTTCCCAAGAGTATGAGCACGTAAGTGAATGTAATGGATTCGACTGGAGTTCGAAAGGTGCCAAATCTTGCTGCGTGGTGCATGCGGGTAAATAATTACTTAACATCAGGAAGAGGCAGCTGAAGTTTCTAGGACACATAATGAGGGCGGAGGACCTGGAAAATCTGATACTCAAGGGTCGAATAGAGGGAAAGAGACAAGGGAAAACAGCCTGGCGGGATTAAGTTAAGTGGATGACAGAACGTGGTCTGGGGGAGGAACGACAAGGCATATAAAAAGAAGAAAGAGAAAGTACTTGAAAAAAGTCCTCCTATATAGCAGTGAATACAAGCCAATTTCCTCACAGAGGAAGTGAATTGAAGCAACAGAAATGTGGTTCTACAGAAGACTGCTGAACGGTTACGTGATATCTGTCCTTCATTACAGCAGCGAATGTTGGATGATTTCCTCAAAGATGAAGAAGAGACTCGAGGAGACAGAGATGTAGTTCTACAGAAGGATGCTAAGGATAGCATTGACCGAGTGTGTGAGCAACGATGAGATCTTAAAGAGGGGACTTTTACTTAACATCAAGAAGAGACAGCTGGAGTTTCTGGGACACATAATGAGAAAGGAGGGCCTGGAGAATCTGATACTCACAGGTCAAATAGAGGGAAAGAGAGACAAGGGAAAACAACACATGACATACCTGGCGGGATTAAATAAGTGGATGACAGAACGTGGTATGGGAGAGGAAGCAGAGGGGAGGAATTTGTTGAGAGCTGTAAGGGACAGGGGGAAGTGGAGAGCCATGATCGCCTACGTCCTGAAAGGACATGGCACATAAAAAGGAATGGTTAACCCTTTCTTCTGTCTTTCCTTTATTAACTTTTATACGAGTTATATATATATATATCTTATGTTATATATATATATATATAAATCCAGCTGAAACTTTAATTGTCCGGCAAATGAATAAATCCACTCATATGTCAAATCGATATCTGGTTTTTGTTTTTCTGGGATAATCAAGAGAAACATTTTGAATTTCAATGTAAGTTCCGGATATAAGATTAGCAAATTCCATAAAATTTCTGAACACACACACACCCATCTGGTATATATAAATATATATATATATACTTACCTAAAACAAAATATACCAGATTTTCTCTGGTCCCAAATTAGACCCATACTTACCTAAACAAATAGACCAAACCTGGATATAAGAGAAACCCGGATATAAGAGACTTCTCCGGTCACGACAACTCTCTTATATCGGGTTACATTGTATATATATATATATATATATATATATATACAATTATATATATATACTGATTTTACAATCGTAGCTTAGATGTGGCACAAGGCCGAAAGTATGGCGCACCCAGTGAGGATCGAACTCATTACTCCGTCTTAATTTTTCTAGCGAGACAACCTTGCTAACCACTACACCGCCTCAAGGCGCCCTGATTTTCCAATCGTAGCTTAGATATGGCACAAGACCGAAAGTATGGGGCACCCAGTGAGGATCGAACTCATTACTCAGTCTTAATTGTTCTAACTAGACAAGCTTCTTAACGATTACACGGCCTCGTGGCGCCCAAAAATACATATATGGAGGGTGTATCACAATTTTGGAGTCAATTTACACACACACCAAAACAAGGAGAAAAAAGTCCGGAAATCTTCGTTTTTGAGTTATTAAGTTTTAAAACATTTTACGGTAGAATGAGGAAACTGCACCGAAGTTTGTAAAAATATTTTTGGATTGTGTCATGGATTTTCGAGGTTGGTCCTTAAGTATTGTCACCCGTACTTTATATAATTTTCGATTTCAGATGGCTAACACAAAAATGATGGTGTTCATCCAGACCTTCTCGATGAGTGACAGCGCGGCAATGAAAATAAAGAAACTGAATCCAGTCCAT